AGTTTTAATACTGCTTACATTGTGGTTTTGGCTCTCTTGTACGTCATGTTAAATACGTCAATGTGTCTTTGGGGGGAGTATGTGTGCCTGTCCTTTGGGGTTAGCAGGTGTTTTGTAAGTCACACATTGTTTTGTGTTTGTCATTTTGCTCCCATAATGCTGTGCAGAACCTGCGTTGGATGGCCCCTGAGGTGTTTACCCAATGTACACGCTATTCGGTGAAAGCGGACATGTTCAGCTATGCTCTCTGCCTATGGGAGCTACTCACAGGAGAGATTCCATTCGCACATCTCAAACCAGGCACTGTACTGCAATACCTAATATTGACCCTCATTGCCTATATTTAGTTATAAGGTTTAATTTTCTCTGTACTTGGGACTTTTTATGAGTTTTTCATCTTTATTTTCGAGTTGATTAGCAAAATATTAATTATAAAATAATTAAAATATTTTAAAGGAATTGTTCACCTAAAAAATGAAATCTGCTCACCCTCAGGCCATCCAAGATATAGATGAGTTTGTTTCGTGATTCAAACAGATTTGGAGAAATTAAGCATTAGATCACTTGCTCACCAGTGGATTTCTCCAAATCTGAAGAAACAACCCGTTTACATCTTGGATAGCCTGAGGGTGAGTAAATTTTCGTTTTCTGGGTGAACTGTTCCTTTAAAAATATTATAAAATATTAAAACAGATTCAAATAAATATTTAAATGAAATGATTGAAAAAGTGTATTCATATAATAATAATATATAAATCTGAATTAACAAGGTCTCATTCTCATCTCTGTGAACTCTTTACAGCTGCAGCTGCTGCAGATATGGCATATCATAATGTCCGCCCTCCTGTTGGATACTCGATTCCCAAACCCATCTCAGCACTGCTGATGAGAGGCTGGAATGTCTGTCCAGAGGTGAGTGACCCACATCTAGCCCAACACATGCTCAGAAAATAAGTCACATACGGTAGGTTTATCAGGAGATATGCACACTTACTTTAAATTAATGTAAAATAGTTTTTAAAAAAAACACTATGAAATCAAATTAGTTGCTTTTACATAGTTAATAATATTTAGTTAATATAACATTATAGCATTTAGTTAATTGCTTTCTAGGTAAAAAGGGGAGAGAAAGCACAAAAATTATTGCAAGTACATAAAGCATTATTTAAAAACAGACCAAAATTGAAACAAAGAGCTTAATCTAATTTAGGAATATTCAAATTCTTAAAATCTAAAAAAAAAAAATTCTGTCACCTTATCTCTGTAGCTCAGGACAAGTTGCATTTGTATTTCTGTTGATGAGCATCCAGTTGCTAGCCTACCGTGTCTCTCTACAGCAAACCTATGCCAGGTGTTTTCTCATATACAGCATCTTTGCAATGTTCTCAGCTCTGGTCCCTTAGGTGCGTGGCTGAAACTGTGTCAAGCGTGCTTGTTAGGAATGTGCCCTGGTACCAAGTGCAGCTTGACACTATTCTCTAGACTAGAGCACAGAGCTTTTGCTGAGAAACACATTAAAAGAGCCAGTATGCTAACAGCTTCCACAGTGCTTTCATTTAGTGTTGCTTTAAGAGATGTACAACATATTGTTAAACACTGTATTCAGTGATAATATTCAGTTTCAAAAAAATGCTTTATATTTTAATACATTACATTTTTTAAATAATGTAGTTTATTCCTGTGATTTTCAGCAGCCATTACTCCAGTCTTCAGTGTCACATGATCCTTTAGAAAGCATTCTGATATGCTGATTTGATGCTCAAGAAACATTTCTTATTATCAAAGTTGAAAACAGTTGTGCTGCTTAATATCTTTGTGGAAACCGTTATGTATATTTTTTAGGATTCTTTATATAAATCTAAAAAGAAATGTCACTTTTAATAAATTTAATATATGCTTGCTATAAATAAATAAAAAAAATATATGTATATATATTAACCCTGATAATTTCAAGTGTATATATGGTCTTCGTGGTGTTTGTAATGGTTAAACCTTCTTAATTTTTTTTTTCTTTTTGTTTTGAAGTCCTTCACTCTGAATGATGCTTGGGCAGCGATCAGCGAGTCCTCTTCAGAGTAGCAGCTGATTGGATAGCCAGAGATTATTTCCTGTACTTTAACCAAACCTCTCTGATTAAAATACCCTATTTTTGACTCTCTGTGACAGGAAAGACCTGAGTTTTCGGAAGTGGTTGCCAAACTCGAGGAATGCCTGTGTAATGTGGAGGTAGGTTACATGCACATAAATGATATGTCTACTGTACATTTTTATCTATTTGACCAGTACTTATTCATATTTCTATGTGTGTCCAGCTTATGTCTCCAGCCTCCAGTAACAGCAGTGGTTCTCTTTCACCCTCGTCCTCCACGGACTGCCTGGTAGCACGTGGCAGCCCTGGACGAAGTCACGTAGCTGCCCTCCGCTCGCGCTTCGAGTTAGAATATGCCCTCAACGCCCGTGCCTATGCATTTTGGACCCAAAAGTACACAAACACACAAATCTATCACAAACCTATGCACTATCCAAGAATGAGACTATGATTTTGCAAACTAAGTTGTATTTGCTAGGAAGAGCCCCCCACCAACTTATTGCCAAACTACTGTACATTAGTGTGAAAACAAATATGAATTTAAATAGAAGTCAATACGTCATACCCATGCATTAATGGAGGAGTCAGGCCACCATGCTCTTTTGTTTGGTCAGTGCCATGCAGTCCAACCACAACACTTCTGTACAGTCTGAAGTGCTGTTGCTTGGAAACCGAGGCATGAAAACAAAAGAAAGAGACTGCAATGAAACTTGCATGACATTCACACTGAGAACCTTTGCTGGTGGTCACCTCTTAATTCTTTATGGGTGGTGATGAATGTGTGTGTGTTGTGGAGGAACCTGGCAACTGTCAACAAAACCACCAACTGAGAAAATTTCTAGAAGGAACTCCTACTTTGGTTATAATTTTTGCAATATGATGTTTTATGTAACCAGATCTAGCATTACACACAGTTTGGTGGTAGGAGCAATAAATCAGGCCAAAGTGACACTGTGAATGACTAAATAGAAAACAAATTCAATAGAGGATCATCTGAGCAGGACAAACCCTGCAAGGCCTCATTGAGCTGATATGACAACAACAAAGCAACAGAAGTGTATCCTATTTAGCATCATTAAAATTTCATATTGCAGAAGAATCGTGCTTGTTCTGTGGTCTTACGTGTAAACCAATACTAATCGCATTGTTGAATCAATCCTCTCTTTTATTTTGACAGCTCTGGTCGGCGGTCTTCACAGGGCTTGTCCCTGGATGAGCTGAGGAGGAACATGCAGTTCCCACCCATTGACCGAAATGGTTCGTGCCCAACTGGAAATTATTATCAAACGTGTGATTCATCTGTTTATGTAACAGCTTAATGTGGGGGCAACATTGTTTTTCATTTTAATTTACATAAAATATGGCAACAATCATGTTGATATAACCCATGTAAATTTGATTTGAAGTTAACATGACATTTTCACAAAGATGAGAGCATTGTGTGCATGTAAGCATATGGTGCAACAAGTGGGTGGTTGTATTAAAGTGCATGTCAGTCACTGTGTTCCATGCTGTTCCCGCAGGATATGTGTCAGATCCCATGAGCACCATGCGTTTCCATTCATGCAGCAGCAATGGAAGTTTTGAGGACAGCAACTAGAAGCAGCAACTCTCTGAAGAACATCACACACAAACACACTTGCATACATGACATATCTAAATTACCATAATTATGAGCTTCAAACACTATTCACATTGTTGTCGAAGTCATAATGTTCAAAGAGCTCTGACTTCTTCCAACCTCACAATGATGTTGTACAAGGTTTTTTATATTGTGTTTGGTGATTCAATGTCAAAAGCAAACACTTTTTTTAGACAAATAAGCCAGCGAGTGAAAAAGGAACTTGACAAGATCATGACTGATGTAACCTAACAACACAGGCACTCTTAGAGCAATTTGGCCTTGCTTGTGGGATCGAAACAGCTCAAGTTTTGATTTAACTGCATGATTATGACAAGGAACAAAGAAGGTATCATAGCAATGTATGTGAACTAATCCAATGTAAAATCATAAGAACACCATTAAACTAGTGCCAAAAATCAGCAAGGTGTTCATGTCATTCACATCACACTGCATCTGCATATTAAAGTGTTCTGAATACTAATTAGGAACACAGAGGAAAGTGCAAACATTGAGGGTTTAGTTCAATTCTGTAATACACCACACGATTTTTTACAGTCTGGAGAAGCTGACGCTAGTAGCCGAAAGTCAGAGGCAGAGCCAGTCTGCAGCTTTGAGTAGTCAGATTCCATAGAAAATTGCGTAGAGTATGATGGTCATAGACTCTGATTTTTTAGCTTCAGTCTATCCAGTCGGAGGATATCAAGCATGTTTGATATTTTGAGCTGATTTTAGAACGCATATTGTTTTCATTTATCATGTGTCTCCTAGCAACAGTGCACGTTTCTGCATGATTTTTTTTGTGATCGGAACAACTTTAAAGTCTGGTAGTGTACGGTCCTCAGTCGTTTAGTGTATGATGGACAGTTTTTCCTCTGTGACTATTACAAAGTCAGTAAGTGTATGATGCCCAGTGTTTTAAAATATTTTCAGATTTTAAAAGTTGTGTAGTATATGGCAGCCTTTAGTTAAGTTCTGAAGTGTCTGAAGTATGTCCGTATACTGCTAGTGCAGCCTGACCAACTGGAGGGTTGGTCTGATAACGAAAAGCAAGTGCCATTATTTTAAACCCATTAATATGGGTTAAGGCAGGGGTGTCCAATCCTGCTCCTGGAAGGCCAATGTCTTACAGAGTTTAGTTCAAACCCAACAAACCTGTCTGGAAGTTCTAGTAATCCTGAAGACCTTGATTAACTGGTTCAGATATGTTTAATTGGGGTTGGACCTAAACTCGGCAGGACAGGAGAAGGATTGGACAGCCCTGGGTCAGCTGAAGGATTTACCATTGTACTAATAACTGTTCTCCGTGTGAGCAGTTGTTAATCTGGGATATCCTGTGGGCCCAAAAAACCTTGAGTCATCCAATGAGAAAGTGCTTAAAGTGTCTCTACTGGTGAGAGTCTGTTTGAAATGACCATCAATTACTTTCGTTCTCCTGTTTCCGTCCACGTTCCTGCTTCCATCTGACTGTCTAGAATGGACGTCTACACTTGCAGTGTCGTCTTGGCTCCTGTTTTCCGATTTATTGATGATTGTGAGGTCTGTAACTACTGCGATTGTCGGACTCTGAGGCTCGATACACTCCGTCTGAGATACATGTTCAGGTTGCAAATTGTGTTCTGAACTCTCCAGGGTCTCTTTGTTACTTGCTTCCTCTGTTTGGGATAAATGTGTGGTTTCACCAGTCATATTTTGTTGATTACTTCTTTCTGACTCTTTTGCATTCAGGTCGACATTTGTAGATACATCCTGTTGTTCAGTTTCAGATGGTGCTCGGTCTTTAATGTCTTCAGATGTTGCTGTTGTCTCTAGGTTTATGACATCATCTGACACTGAAGTTTCCTGTCCAGCAGTGTCTTTTTGATTGGTGTGTTCATCATTACTCTGTCTTGACCAAGTAGTGACCAAAGAACCTCTAGTATCTCCAGCCTCCTGGACTCTTTCATCTTTTGTTGAGGTATGTATGCTGTCTTTAGAGTGATTACTGTGAGCATCTGCTTCTATGGCCTCAACTTTAGTCTCTGTTTTCAAGCTTTCAGCCACAGACTCTGTGTTCTCATTGAGAATTTTCCTTACAGGAGTTGCAGTTTCGTCTCTATTCTTGAGTGTTTCATCAAGGCCCTCAATATCAGTACTTGTTGGTATATCTGTAGCATTTAATACTTCACCATTTAGCCTCTCATCGGTTTCTTCCAAGATGAGACCCTCTTCATCATGGGGCTCGATGAATGTCTGAAAATACCTTGATTCCTGGTGTATGTTAATCCAGTTACTTACTAGATCCACCCCAACTGCTTTAGTTAAAGCTGCTGAATGAATGGCAAGATCCTCTGAATCGATGCTCAGAACTGGACCTTTGACCCCTTTTTTGACTTTCTCCACAGGCTGTGATTCCAGTGAATGGGAAACAGATGAGCCACCATCATTATTTACAGAATTCCCTTTCTTCTCCAGAGGTTCCACTGGATCTACATCCATTACTTCAGGAGCATCTCTACTTCTCAGTTCAGTGTCAGTAGCTTTCAGTTCTGACTCATTTGGTTCTTCTGCTGTGGCATCTGCCAAGACAATGTCATTTTCTGTATCCTTATTGACCATCTCCTGGGTTATCTGAGAGGTTACATTTTCTATGAATGTTGTTGCAGATGTTTCCGATTCTTTATCACCCTCTTCTTTGTCATCCTGTTTGTCTGCTTTTTGATTGTCACTGGCCTGGTCCTCATGTTCATCGCCCAATTGAGACTCTCTTTCTGACGGAACAAGTTCAGCATCTGACTTGTTTTCAGTCTCTTGCTCGTTATCAACATCTTTTTCTTCTTTCATATCTTTATCAGTTTCTGGCTTTTCATAATCATCTAAAACATCTTGAGCCCTATCACCAGTTGTCTCACTCTCTGATTTGTCTTGCAATTCCTCTTGGAGATATTCTTCTACCTTCTCAGCCTCCTCAAGACTGACATCTTGTCTTTCTCCATTTTCAGCATCTATGTTACTATCCAGCAGGTCATTATTCACCCCAGTAGGTTCATCTACTTCTTCCTTGGTACTGGCCACTGTGTCATCATTGGGTGCCCCCCTTGAACCAATTTCATTTTGTTCTTCCTTTGAAACAGATTCCTCATTTTGGTCCTCAAGGTTGACTTCTAGTTTTTGGGCTGTATTTTCATCAGAAGATGCCTCTTCTTTTCCATTCCCTGTATCTAATGTATTCTCACTAATTTTGTTCATATCTGTCACCTCTTTCTCTGGATCTTCTACCAACTTTTCACCTGTTTCTAACTCATTCTCTACACAATTTCCATCTGTTCCCTCTGCCATCTCATCTATCTTCTTTTCCTCCACCTCTGCTTCTTCTTCCTCTTTCTGAACCACATCTTCCATTGTTTCATCTTTCACTTTTTTGGTTTCTCCTCCAATATCATCCTCACTGTTTGGTTTTTCTTGCCCTTCTTCCTCTGCCTCAACACTAATTATATTTCTAACCTGTTCTCCATTTTCTGGTTCATTCTGTTCATCATTCAGGCTATCATCCTCTATTTCATTACCCTGTGTCCTCACATCTTGACCACCCTCTGACTCATTTTGTCTATTCCCAGCCTCAATAGACAGTTCTTCAGCTTCACCTTCTTTATGTTCATCATTCACACCATCTTCACCTTTTTCTGTACTGTCCTCATTTTCTTTATCTTCTGCATTTAAATCATGGCCACCCTCATTTTCTTTCTCACTACCTTGGGTCTCTTCTTCCCCAAGTTTCACTGCCTCTTCTGTTCCCCGATTTTCAATTCTATCCTCAACCTCTAGCTTTTCTGTAGCTTCCTCCTCTGCCTTATCTTCACTAGATTTTTCTCCATCTTCCACCTTACCAACAGAGCCCCCATCATCCACCTTGCCATCTGTCTCCTGTACCAATTCCCCAGTTGACCTATCATCCCCAGCCTCATCTGCTAGGTCTTCTCTTTCATCTCTGTCAGTCTGTCCATCGCTCCTCCTCTCTATGTTCTGATCTGCGTCATCAGCGTCTCGCTGCCTCTCAGTGTCACCTGCACCTGTTTCTGTACCATTCTCTGTCTGAGATGCCGAACCCTCTCCCTCCATCTCTGGAACCTCAGTGTCTGTATTTTCAGTATCCAGCGTTTCAGCATGTGTCTCTGGTTCTTGTACTAATGAATCTTGTACCTCTGGAATTGTATTGTCCCCATCCATAACTTTCTCCTGTGCCTCCTCAGTTTCAGTTTTCACTTCCTCTCTTTTATCTGGTTGTTCAACCTCATTTGTACTCTCACTTTGTTCTTCCGTCTGCTTTTCCTCCATGTCTAAACTTTCCACTCCTTCCTTAGTCTCATCTATTTCTTGGACTACTTCTTCTGTGTGTAAATGCGGTTCCTGTGTATTTGTCTCTTTTGCAGGCTGACCCATCTCAACATGCACCCTTTCCTTACATGCAGCCTCCTGTGAGTTGGCTTCACTTTCATCTGGAATATCATCTTGTGTGTTTGATGGTTGAGGCAAAGTGATATCAGCCATTTCGGCTCCTGTAAAAGTGAGCATTTATAATTAAACCTTTTCAGATTCATACATTTTTACAAACACAAAATTAACAAAACTAATTTGTTGTGTAAAAAATGTATCTTTACTAGTGCTATTTTGGAAATAAATGATGAAAAGACTACTTTTTTTACCTTGGCCATCCTTTTGGGTCTTCACTGAAGCCCCTTCATCTTCCTCTGTGCTTGTATCACTAAACTCTGGCTCTGAACTACATTGAGATTGCTTTAAAATGGCCTCAGCCAACTTCTCCTGCATTGACTTGGCTGTTTATAGTCACAGGGAATGAGACATATGACATCCATAACAAAATGTTAATGTTATCTTGAAAGTGAATTAACTAAATGAACAACAGTCACATAATTAGTGGGATGAATTTAATATCAAACATATTTCGAAATGAAATCTAGAAGCATTGGAAAAAAAATAATAGTGTAAATGAAACAGTTGCTCAAAAGTTTATTACCACAAGCACAGCAAACACACTGACTGGCAACACAGCATGCAGCGAACAATCACTTAAATGTTTTCACACTGGACAGTTGCCAAAAAAGGATCCATAACCATATCTGTTGAGAATACACATGAATTTTACACAACAACCAATTAAGCCAAACAGTGTATTTAATTATGTGTAACAGAAAACAAATAAAAAATGGCTAGATGCACATTATGAATCAAACACACTGAAATCAGAAACTTAACACAAAATCACAAATAGAAAACACTGCTCTCTATTCCCAGCAATTAAATTAGCAAATCCACAAGAGCCAACATGTAATGCATACTACACTTTATAGATTGTTTTGCAGTGCACTTGTCATATTTAAAAAATATAACTCAAAAATGAGTCTAAACCTTGATGGATTGTAAGAGTCAAGACAGATTGGTTTATACTGAGCAGTATGCTTACGGGAAACAAATAACATGCAATTAAAACCACATTTGATAACACAAACCATTTAATACAATGATTTTTGCAAGACCACCTAGAGTTAAACAAACTGGGCTCTGAGTGGCCTTGACAATTACACAGAGAAGTGTGTAACATATGTTCTGCTTTTAACACAATCAGAACTCGAGTAAATAATGAGGTCATGTACTTGCAAAAAAACATGTCATCATGCTCTCCTCGGGTAAAGGTAAGTAAAGTATTTCAGGTAGTAACAGGGTAATAAAAGATGCTAATTAGTTAAAGCTGAAATGTGTAATTTCTGTGCCTGTAGCGACACAAAAAAAATGTAAAAACATGTCTCTGCTTATTAAGCTGGGATAGGAGAAAGTATTTTAACATCCAACAAATGACACTAAAGCTTTAATGATAAATGCTGTGTGAAGTAACTAAACACTTTATCTTGCAGCAATCAAAGCTGAAAGTAGAAAATCAAATACCAAAAAAAAAAAAAAGACCCTCCAGTTCTGATGTAAAAGCCAACATGAATAAACACACAAGGTTTGATCATGACAGACACACAGCACTAGTTTACATGCAGACACTCACCTCTCTCAGGTTCATTTTCTTGTGGCTTATCTAAAGGTTTGGCATCCTCCCCAGATTGCTCACCTTCAGTTCCCTCTTTCTTGTCTGTGTCTTCTGACATTTCCAGGTCGCTCTTCTCCATGCCATCCCCTGGACTATCCTGTGTCCCAGAATCTTCCACTGCAGCTTGAGGCAATGTAACATCGCTGGACTCTGTGACCTCTGTCTCCTCCGGTTTGGTCTCAGCTGTGGTGAGAACTTCCTCTGCATGTAAGCTCTCCTCTGGAACATCAGAAGTGGTGATTTCTTTGGTGTCCTCCACAATTTCTCTTTCTCTGTTGTCATTGTCACTGCTGGACAAGCTGGATGTTCGACCAGATGAGACAGATGATGACCTTTTGACCTCTGAAAGAAGAAGACAAATAATCTGTTGGTTTTAGGTGTTTAACAATCTTGACATGTTGCTGAATAGTGTGAAAAAGTAACATTTACTGGACATATTGGTGTCATCGCTGTCAGAGTTGCTTTTCTCTTCATTTATGTCATTTTCATCCCTGATCTCAGATTCTTTTTCTTCCCCAGTAGCAACAGAAGCTGGATTTTCCACTGCTTCATCACCATCTTCAACTGGCCCTTCATCATCTGCCTCAAAGTCTTCCTCATAGTCTATATGAGAGCATGGCATAAATGTCAAGGTCAAAGCAATTAATTTAAAGGATTAGTTCACTTTCAAATTAAAATTTCCTGATAATTTACTCACCCCCATGTCATCCAAAATGTTTATGTCTTTCTTTCTTCAGTCAAAAAGAAATTAAGGTTTTTGATGAAAACATTCCAGGATTATTCTCCTTATAATGGACTTCAATGGCTACCAAACGGTTGAAGGTCAAAATTACAGTTTCAGTGCAGCTTCAAAGGGCTCTACACGATACCAGACGAGGAATAAGGGTCTTATCTAGCAAAACGATCGGTCATTTTCTAAAAAAAAAAAAGTATATGCTTTATAAACAAAAATTTGCGCCTTGCACTGCTCTGCGATGCGCGTCCATGACTTCACGTAATACGTAATTACGTTGAAAAGGTCACGCTTGACGTAGGCGGAAGTACCGACTCAGCCAGTGTTTACAAATGTGGAGAAGGAGGACCGTTCGAAAGTTGTTGCGAGTTAAAGTCCAATTTTGGGGGGGGGAGACTGATATGTTCTCAGAATTGCGAGTTTATATCTCACAATTCTGAGAAAAAAAGTCAGAATTGCGAGATATAAACTCGCAATTGCGTGAAAAAAAGTCAGAATTGTGAGTTTATATCTCGCAGTTCTGGCTTTATTTCTCAGAATTGCGACTTTATGTCTCGCAATTGCGAGTTTATATCACGCAATTCTGACTTTATATCTCAGAATTGCCAGTTTATATCTCACAATTATGACTTTTAAACTCGCAATTCTGAGAAAAAAAGTCAGAATTGTGAGATAAAAAGTCGCAGTTACCTCTTTTGTTTTTTATTCAGTGGCGGAAACGGGCTTCCACGCATTGCAGAGCAGTGCAAGGCGCGCATTTTTGTTTATAAAGCATAAACTTTTTTTTTTTTTTTTTAGAAAATGACCAGTCGTTTTGCTAGATAAGACCCTTATTCCTCGTCTGGTATCATGTAGAGCCCTTTGAAGCTGCACTGAAACTGTAATTTTGACCTTCAACCGTTTGGTAGCCGTTGAAGTCCACTATAAAGAGAATAATCCTGGAATGGTTTCATCAAAAACCTTAATTTCTTTTCGACTGAAGAAAGAAAGATGTAAACATCTTGGATGACATGGGGGTGAGTAAATTATCAGGAAATTTTAATTTGAAAGTGAGCTAAGCCTTTAAAGATGCAATAGAAATGACCAAAATGACTTTTGTGTATTTAACATACACATTTTATCAGTATGTGTTCTATGGGTTTCAAAGCCATGACCTTGGTGTTGCTAGTGTCGTGCTCTACTTGTCAAACAATGGGAACACACAATTTCTAAAGTTATATACAACAGCTGAGACTTAACCGAAACTGTTTTTTTAACCAACAATGTTTTTTTTTATCTTGCATGTAATCACAAGTTAATTTGTTGTTGTGCTACGTTCAAATAGCCCTGCAGAAGCATCAATTAAAGGTTGTGTTTTTGAAATCAGGAAACTCGTAGAGTTTGTACCATCTTTGGTCTTTTTCTGTCCTGTTGTTTCTCGATTAGGTTCTGTCTCCATTTCCTGAGGCGTGTCAAGCTCTGCATTAGACTGTGTCTCTATGTCCTCATCTACATCTGTGGCCTCCTTAGCATCAGGGGATTTAGAGGTTGGCAGCTCCTCTTTCACTCTTTTTTGAGGAGGGGTGGGTTTTTTGTCCAAGCCCATGGCAATAATACACCTGAAGAATTACATCATACAAAACCATAATGCATCTTGATTAGCGGTAGACCAATGTGGGGTTTTTTCAATGGCCAAAGCCAATAATGATAAATAGGCAGTGTGGTGGTCGATATAATGCTACCATGAGGTCGGTAAGATTTTTAAAACGTTATCCTCAACAAGGCTGCATTTGGTCAAAAATACAGTAAAAATAGTAATATAATGAAATATTCTTACAATTTAAAAAATAACTGTTTTCTATTTTAATACATTTTAAAATTAAGTTTATTCCTGTGATAAAGCTGAATTTTCAGCAGCCATTATTCCAGTCTTCAATGATACATGATCATTCAGAAATCATTCGGATATGCTTATTTGGCATTATTATCAATGTTAAAAACAGTCATGCTGCTTAATATATATAATAAACCATAAATATATATAATAAACCATAATAAACCTATATATATATATTATAAAAGCGTCTGCTAAATGATTAAAAGTAAATGTAAATATCATCCTTGCCAATATAAATGTGTTTTCTATCACTAAACTTGATCCGATATGGCACAATTATTTAAGAGGAATTTAAAGTTAAAGTTGGAAAACCAAAAAAATATTTGTATAGCTATGTTGTATAGCTGGGATATTTGTAGCTATGTTTCTTTCTCTACGAAACTGCAAAGATTTTGTTCTTGATTTTTTACAATGAGCACAAAAATATAATTGAAATATACATTTTCATTACTTGTAGCATGGAGAGGCTCCCTCCACACCGCAAAATCCAAAGTGTCCGTGTCTGCCCCCCAGCCGAGAGCCTTTCCTGTGTTTGAACTCACAGCAGGAGCTGAGCCGATCCACTTGCAGGCCATTCAGGAAGAATGTAAGACTGAAGGGAAATCCTTGGTGACGTCTTGACACAAACTGGAACACTTCTACATGTAAAGGTAAGCAAAGAAAGTTCATTTCCATTTGCTTTTGATGAATGTGCCTTATAATCAACAAGGAGAATCACATAATAAATGCAAAATATATTCTAATATATGCAACACTGCCAGGTTAGAACCACTTATTATCAAAAAGCCCCCAGATCAATAGTGTAACTCAATTCATGGTGTTCTTAAGATATGAATTGCAAAGCACAGGTGTACAGAGACCTACACTGACCTCCCTCTCTCAGATTCCCTTTGTAGACACACAGGTTCTCTCCTCCACAGTGCTGCTGAAAGACCTTCACCTCATCTCTGAGGTCCATCAGATCATGGGACAGGTGAACACTCTTCCCAAAGTACACCATGCTTACTAATACTTTACTCTGGGCTGATGTCCTCTGGAGAGAAGACGGCTGCAGACGGAGGAATAGCATAGTGTATAATAGAATATTTGTAAGTGAAGGTTTATTTCAATGTAAATAACTTCAATATACTGACCTCTGTAGCAGCTGTTGGTGCCGTAGTGGGTCTTAACTTTCGACCCCTGAGTGTGCCGTTCGCTCTCTGCCCTCTTTCTTTCTTCTTTGTGAGGGGTGGCACAGGGGTCACATAGTTGTTAATGACAGGAAGACGGTAGGGCGAGACAGTGCTAGAGAAGTCTGTCGTGGTCAAATGTTTCATGGCGTCTCTGTTCAGCTATAAAACAACCCAGAGAGATAAAAATATTATTGCTGTGAGGCAGAGTTATTATAGATAACTAAAATTTTAAACGGAAACTGAAATAAAATTAAATATTAAAAAAACTTATTTCATCTAGTTGCCATTTTCTCGTTTTAATTTAGTTTAACTTGATATATAAAATAATACATAGACACACACACACACACACACACACACACACACATATATATATATATATAAATATATATATAAATAAAATACAAAAACAACTACAAATTGCAAAAACTACTAGTTTATGGCTCTGAAGAAATCTGTATAAGAAATAAAACTAACAAATCGAAAGACAATTGTTGACTTACAGTAAAATAATTAAGACTTTTGATTAATAAAAAATTAAATGATAAAAATAATGTGAAAATCATAGCTTTGATAATTTGGTCAATATTTAAAATATTATAATATTATTTATAATATTCATATCGAAATCTTTTGATTTAACAGACTTAATGGTATCTCTACAAATCTGAGAACAATTTGAGACACTTTTGGGATTTCTTCTGAAATACTATACAAGATACATATTTTCTCACTATTTATTCATATTTCCCTCCAGAAGTAACAACAGATATATTAAAGATATCTAATTTGTGATTTTTCTTTCCTACAGGAACACACAAAAAAGTTGATCTTTGATACATCAGCAGAGCAGTATGCAAATTAGTAATATTAGACGTTTGAGTGTGATTTGTGCTTTGTCGGTGACCCGTGATGAGGGGTTAGTATTAGGTGTAAGTATTAGGACCTCAAGATGGTCTCACCGTATAACTGAGGGGCTGATCGGTGTCATTGGAGGAGTCATGGTCCCGGGGTCTGTGTCGAGGGGAAGTTCTCTTCAGAGAGGACATGGCACTATTGCTGTTCAGGGGATTGAGTCGACCAGGCCTCTGCATCTTCCCTGGAGCCGTGTTTGGCCTGGAGGAACTCAGCTACAGGAGTAAGACAATAACTCACTTACCAAATTTAAAATATGCTGAATATACATGCTTAAGACATGTCCTACTAATGCAACACTTGTGCATTATCGGAAAGGAGTTATATATACACTAAAATTCCAATTGCATTAATTGTACAATATTAAAGTCAAGTCAAATCATCTTTATTTTAAAAAAATAAAGTCAAAACTACTTCCATTTTTAAGGAGATTTTAAACTAGTAAAACTAAGAGCTTAACATGTGGGTTTACAAAAACGTATCTAGAGAAACCAGAGCAAACAATCAAGCTCATGTGTCATCAATTTACTGGAGCAGTAACTCTCCAGGCACCGTCAACAGGCAAACATCCATGACTGAAACAACCACAACACCTCATATCACCTTCTGCTAAACATGTCAGAGCCTAATGAGCAAACAATGATCTGAATCTGCAATTTAGCAACCATTAAGACTAGCTGGGTAACTATCTAGAATAAACACAAGCAGATATAAAATGACAGCACATCACTAGGAAAACAGTCATTTATAATACAGCATTGAAGCACATTTATTACGGAGGAGGTACCTACTAATTGTAATGTACAGTATGTAAACTGAAAGGAAATGGTTAGATCATAAAGCGATTTTACCCATTATACACTTACAGATTCTGTTGACTCAGAATGCTCTTCCTCCGGTCCAGAATGCCGTGCGTGTGAGATCTTTGGCCTTGTGGGTGGCCGGGGTGACAGCATTAGCATTGGTTCATCTTCATATCTCTTGGTGCGCTCAGCCTAACATAAAATGCAAAATGTTAAATCACAAAATTAACTTTATTATCATGTCACCAAGGCCAGTTTGAGTCTGAAAGGAGTTCTGTAAAAATGACAAACCTTCATTTTGTGGATTCGTTCCCTCCGTGCAAATTCCTCAAGTTTTCTCCTGATCTCAGTTTGATGAAGGCGCTGAATAAACAGTGGAAAAGTAAAATATCTAGAAAAACTTTTTTTTTCCTCAAGTTTGCTTTAGTTCATAAATTTTATTTGATTATATGAGAAGTCTAGTACAGTGTATCCCAATGTTTTTTTGTTTTATGTACCTTTTAACTTGAACTATATAATAGAATAAATACATAGTATAGTCTACAAATTACAAAATTATAATAATAAAATACATAAAAATGATATTGATATTAATTCTTAATATTACCTGTTACCTTAAATATATTACAGAAATTATATGTATATATATATATATATATATATATATATTTGAGGTTAGATGACTGATTCATTTAAACTAATTGTGATTATTTTAAGTTTTTATACATAAATACTGCCTTTTATACTGTAAAAACTCACATCAGTGCCCTTACTTTTTGACACTACACAACAGTCTAGGATAATAGAGCTTCTGATAAAGCATCTGTGGACTGTATAATGCTCTACACAACAGTCTAGGATAATAGAGCTTCTGATAAAGCACCTGTAGACTATATAATGCTCTCACCTCCATGTCTAGCACTTTGTGAAAAATGGCCTGAGCTAGACACTCCCTCACATGTCTCTGATGTGTTCGCTGGATCAGCTTGTGCTTGTACTCCTTATCAGGAACAATCCGGCCGCTCCGAGTGATCTGAAGCACATGCACCTGCATTTAATGACTGATGCATCTGATCTTGTATGACATAAAGTGTCTTTCCTTTCATCTTTTAACAAGTTATCTAAAGTGATCTTTATTAGAATGCTAATTACATTCTATAACTTTTGATATAACATTCATTGAGATCAACGTATGTTAGTTTGTAAATATTGAAACTTTTTAGAATGATCTAAATTCTAGGCTAATCTCATAGAATAATCATAACATCATTTTCTAGATTGACTTTCTAAAATGTGCACATACCAGACCAACTTTCTTAAGATGTCTTCGTATTCTTGCATTGTTGAAGTATCCGGTCAGATGTTTGTCAGTTAAGCTACTGTAAGCTGAAATAAGACTACATGGACAAAAATATTATCAACACTGTATTCCTGAGCTTTGATAATGTCAATATGTTACACTATTTGAAAAATAAATAAATCTGTCAGTATCTGTAATCCCAGTAGAAACCGGCCTGCTGCCAGGCACATTAAAACATTCAAATATCTCATCCCAGAAATGATGAACTTGTAATGTAAAGATGGGCCCTAGCAGGCTGATGGAATGATTCAGTGATCCTCAAGGCCACCAGTGCCAAGGATTTCAGCTTGAGGTGAACACTCTACATCTGTGTCAAGTGTAGTCTTGGAAATGCTCGACTGTTTGTCTGCCTGGCTTTTTCCGATACAGATTTGATTTCCCTCAGCGTTTGTAAAGAAGACAACACAACCTGTACACCAATCCTCAGGCCAAGTAGATACCATTACCGGTGTCTGGTTTCTATTGGAATTGAGTGTGGATGGATAGCACACTTAACCCATGGCCCCCCTTTGAATTCATGTCTTTCTCTAAAATTGCTCAGAAATAACACATAATGCCTGTGAAAGACAGTCTAAACAATATGGATTAATTCTAATTACGCGTAAATATAATTCATTTTTGTCTTAATGATCAATTCAGAAATATATATGACAGCTAGCGATTTGAGGTATGTTCAACAAATAAACAACATTCCCTTAAGTCATGCCTGAACAATATAGCCTGTCTATTAAGGAGTGGTTGATCTCTTCTGTCGTTTCATCTCCACAGTAACGAGCTTTTGGTCATATAGTGTCATGTCATAAAAATAAAGCTGAAAAATTACATGCATATTGTTATAAATTATAAAAATTGTGCATAATGCAGCTAGCAGTCTAACACAGGACAGTAGTTTTACAGTTAATTTCAGTCAACACTGCAACCTGGTCTAGCTTAGTTACTCACTCTTGGTTCAGATGACTCATTTTGTCGGTGCGCAGTGATATTTGATATGAATCAAGCAATCAAGCAATAATAGGAGAGCTTTCATTAATCCAGAGGACATTAAAACTATGTGCTCATCTGTCTGCCCGGCTCTGAAAACTCAACACCTTTCCTCGCGCGGAACTGATGACAGCCAGCGTTGCCATGGCGAATCACGTGACGATGCCTCCGCATTCTTTGTGCTTCATTTAAGTTAAAGATACATTATAGTACTTAAGTTCATATTAGCAAAGACTTTAGGATACCTTAAAGGGACTTTGATATTAGTAAGTCTTATAGTCAAATTTTTACATATCCGTGATGTAAATAAAAAATATTTATTTAGAAAAATAATAATAATAATAATAATGTAATGTATTGTCTAACATATACCTTTTGTCAAATGTTATGGTTCTGAAGATTTATTAGGCCTAAACATTAATTCGGTTTATTTCGTGAAGATTATTGTAGGTCAGGTTAAAAAAAGCCTTAAAGCTGTACATTAACGCCCTCTAGTGTTTTCACTGGGCACTGTCCGTCCATGTCCTAAAGGTGATGAAGGAATCATCAGAATATTTCACTGCAGTAATATAATCTCCAGCATTTTGGGATTTAATTCTTGGTAACATAAGAATGGTAATTTTTTGTTGAAGAAATCTAAAAATAAAGCACAGTAGCTTAAGTAAATTAAGCTTTAAGCTTTTTCCCTGTGTTCCTTTTATTCATGTGTTCTTTCTATTTGCATTTTATTTCCTATGTTAGTTTTACTCTGTGTACAGAGAATCTTAAAAAGCATTTTTACATACATTAATCATGACATAACATTTTAAGTAGAAGTGAATCAACTTTACTTCCTGGCATTGAACATAATTTTTTCTAATTTCTCAATCTGGTCGCGTGACTAAAATTTTAGAATAACAAAAATTACTCTACTTATTTAATTTCACCAATATTGTCTCTGTTGTTACAACTACAACATAAGATTTATATGCAAAAAATGTATGTATGCAAAAAAAAACTTCCCAAGACAAAGCAAAAAATTAATAACAAAATCCAACTCTTTGTTTTCCAGACAAATACCAAACCTAATTAACTTAATCGTAAGGGGTGGGAGTTCCACCTCTCTAGACTGTAGCCAGTTCTGTACATCTCTCCAAAAAAGTTGCACCAAATGACAACAAAAGAAAACATGCTCTAGATTTTCAATATTCGTTTCACAAAAAACACAATTATTCACATCCAAATTAAATTTCAGTCTTAAAAATTAATTGGTAGGATAAATCTCATTTAAAATTTTGAAGTTCACCTCCTTAACTTTAGGAGGAAGAGGAAAAGATATATAGCTTTTCCTCATTTTTTTAATTTCCATAATATCAAAATCTTTGAGCATATATTCCCTTCTAATAGGGTTAGGATAATAAGCCTGTAAAATAAAATCTCTAATGACTATACATTTTTTATCACAAAAATTATAACCTTCTAAGGAGAGCTGTCTCAGTTCTGGGGAGACTTTGGAGTACAAAATGTCTTCTTTAACTATTAATCTTACAGCAATTGGAATGGCTCTAATTATTCTATTATAAGTATTAACAGAACACTGCAGTTGGAATTTTTCACAGAATTCTCTATACAGTAACAAATTTCCATTATCGTCCAAGAAATGGGCAATCACCCAAATCCCTTTGGATTTCCATTCCTCAAAATATACCGACTTTCTGCCTATCTTTATATATCTATTATTCCAAACTGGAGTGTTGTGAGGTGTGAAGTTATGTTTGTACGATCATTTCCAATAGAGCAGCACTTGCTGATGGAAAGCTGAAAGTTTAACTGGTAACGAGGTACACTCAAAATCACAACGTAGAAAAAAATGTATTCCTCCCAGTTTGTTAAAAATTGCACTGGGGACAATAAACCAAAAAGAACTGCTATTTTGAATGAAGGATTTTAACCATTTCAATTTCAGAACACCATTCATAATATCAAAATCGATCGCATTCACACCACCGTCTTCATATTTTTTAATCATATCTTCCTTTCTTATGTAGTGACATTTATTTCTCCAGATAAATGTAAAAGTCACCTTATTTATTAATTTGATCATTCTTGTCGATATGGGCAAGGAGAAGGCTGGGTAGATAAGTCTGGACAAACTATCCATTTTAGACAAAAGAACCCTTCCAAAGATTGTAAGATCCCTCTGCAACCATCTGTTCAGAGTGGATTTACATTTATCTATGTTATTCAATACATTTTTATTCTCCATTATTTCTCTATCTTTAGAAATTGTAATTCCCAAATATTTAACTTCCTTCTTAATTTGTATATTAAATAATTTCTGTAAAGGAAACTCATGTAAAGTTAACATTTCACATTTCTTTAGGTTCAAATAAAGCCCTGAAGCTTTAGAAAACTGGTTGATCGAGTGTAAAGCTAGTGGAATTTGTTGTTCATTTTTAAGAAACAACGTTGTATCGTCAGACATAATTATTCCCTCTCTGTTCTTATAAGCCTTGATAGCCTTTTTGGCTATTGTAGATTATTAATATCATCAAAACAATAATTTTTACTCCGTACTAATGTGCCTGTAAATTGCATTGCCCAACTCTAATAACGTCTATAATCCTAAGCAGGTACTGCGTGAATTGTGTAAAGGAATGGTTTGTGTGCGTTCGACCGATTCTACCGAGGCCCCCTCTAGAAACGCGAATCCCCCCAGTTTGTATGGGCTGGTGCCGACTCTGTCTCTGTGTGTGTGAGTGAGTGAGTGTGATTCAGGTATACCCTACGTTATGGGGACAAAATGTCCCCACAAAGATGGCAATATCCGAATTCTTTGTCCTTGTGGGGACATTTTTTGATCCCCATGAGGAAACAAGCTTATAAATCATACAGAATGAAGTTTTTTTTAAATCTAAAATGCAGAAAGTTTTGTGTGAGGGGTAGGTTAAGGGGCTGGGTTAGGGTAAGGGGACAGAAAGTACAGTTTGTACAGTATAAAAACCATTACTCCTATGGAATGTCCCCATAAAACATGGAAACCCAACATGCGTGTGTGTGTGTGTGTACTCATTTATCCTACATTAGGAGACCCCCACAAGGACAGTATGTCCCCACAAGGATGGTAAAACCTGAAATTTTTGACATTGTGGAGACTGGACTGTGGTCCCCACAAGGGAAACAATTATTAAAAATACCCAATGATGTTTATCTGAAAGTTTAACAATGCAGACAAGTTTTCTGTAAGGGGTAGGGTTGGGTTAGGAGATAAAAAATATTGTTTGGTCTGTTTGTGTGTGTGTGTGTGTACTTATTTTGACTATAATTGTGAGGACCAAATGTCATTACTTATACTTTGACAACCCATGAGGGCATTTGACTGGTCCTCACTAGTTAAAAAGGCTTATAAATTTGCCAAAAGGTGTTTTGATTTAAATCGAGTGTTCTGCATGTTTTTGTGATCGGTAAGTTTAGGGGTAGGGTTGGGTCAGCTGATAGAAAATATCATTAACCTGATAGAAAATCAGTGGAAGTCTATGCAATGTCCTCACTATGATAGAGAAACCTTATCTTATCTGGGTGGCAGCAAGTGCAATCAGTGTTAGATTGGACATGTGTGCTGTGATTGTGGAGACAATAATTTCCTGATTAGGGCGTTTTTACAAGGCTCTCTGATTGGCCAGACAGAGATCACTGCAGTCCTGAAGTGATCACGACATCCTTGACTCAAAACACACGGTCTAAAGAAGGCCTCATCGGAGCGCACAATGAGTATTTCCATTGGCACACTTTGTTTTAAAAAAATATATAAATAATAATAGTTAGACAATTAGGTACGTTAAAAAAGATTGTCATACAAACAAAACGCCATAACTTAAACAAGGAAAATTATGCCTCTCATGGAAAACAATGTGAAAACAGATGCCAATTATGGAAAATGTCAAACTGATTGTATTAGTAAAGTTACTAAGAGAAATTGTTTTATTAAGTGTTTGTATTACTATAATTGTTATAATCTGTTTAAATGCCATAGTACACAATTGTAAGTATTAAGATATCAGTCATTAGGCACAATTGCTCAAATTTGGTAAATTAAAATGAATAAAACATGACCCTATAAATTAGGGCCTTTATAAAAGTAACTAAACCTAGTATTCGACTAACAAACAGATAATCCTTAGCTAGTCCTACGAAATTAAATAAATCAATATTGATGATGATAATAATAATAATGATAAGATGCTTACTACTACTACTACTACTACTACTACTACTATTGTTGTTGTTGTTATCTTAAAGCATTAACAAAGTATTAAAACAAAAGTTTAAAACGTCCTATAAACTGTGTAGGGTTTGTGGCACATAATTATTGTCTGTCAAATGTGCATAAAGACATCAAAACGCTCATTAAAACGGAAATTGCTTTAGGAAACACCTGTTGTTTAATTATGAATACGAGAATTTATTGAGAACGCGCCTTTCTCGTCATAATGATTAATTTATTTATTTTTCTTCGTCATAATGATGAATTTATTTTTTTTCTTCGTCATAATGATTAATTGATTTTTTTTCTTCGTCATAATGATGAATTTATTTATTTTTTCTTCGTCATAATGATGAATTGATTTTTTTTCTTCGTCATAATGATGAATTTATTTTTTTTTTCTTCGTCATAATGATTAATTGATTTTTTTTCTTCGTCATAATGATGAATTGATTTTTTTTCTTCGTCATAATGATTAATTGATTTTTTTTCTTCCCTAAGTGATGTGTTCCGTACACAGTTTGGACGAAATATTTCTACTATTTCCCCTAATTTATAGCAGAAGAAGAATTGGACCCGCCTTGAAAAGGCGAAATTAAGTGTCAAGAGTTTAATGAGACCTCTTCACCTTTGGGTTGCTCTGGTTGCAAACGCGGGGTTTTAATTGGCGTAATTAAATAAATCAATTATCTTCGTCCACTGGTTCTTCAGAGGTTTTGACTGGCGTGCGTAATTGATACGTTTGAGGTGAAGGCATTATGTGTGAACCGTTTCCGAATCACTAATGCGGATTTCAAGTACATAATATAGCCTACTGCACATTACTCCAAGAGTCGGACGTGTTTTAACAATGCCTGAAATTCTGAAAGTCGTAAATGTAGTTTTGGTAATTG